CCTCGGGAAGCCATCAAGGGGGAATCACAGATGGGCTGGGGAGGGAGTGCAGCAGGGAGGGGTGTGGAGCTCCTGTCATGTACTCAAAACAAAACAGACAGAGGTCTTTTCCCTCAGTTTCTAAGCGCATCTCAATCTTCCATTCTGCATTCCCTTCCACGTTCACTGCCACTTTGTGTTGGGGGTTCTGCATTTATTTTAGAGGGATCAGCTCTCAGACCACTTCTAGCACACTGTTGCCTCACACTTCCCCAAAGTGCTTTTGTCGTGAACATTTGTTCTGCTCTGTTTTGAAATCGATACTACTATTTAAAGTAGACTTGTTTCTGTGAATATTTAAGCAACGCCCACTGACCTTCCCTGATTCAGCCTCTTTCTCTTTGTTCTATGTTAGGTGGCCAATTTACATGATAACAAGTTTCCTCAAGGGCAATTGCTGAACATTTACATTTGTTTAGAGTCTGCAGCGGTTTGGAGAATGGGAGAGCTACTAGAAAAACCAGTTTTTCAAGAAGCACTTCTAACTCAAACAGACTTCAATCACAAACATTTCCCTCAAAACAAAAACGGATGCATGGATTGATGGTTTGCATTTTGATTTGATACTAAGCGTTGATAACTGTATATTATCCATGGGTTATTCCCATTACATAATGTTAGTGAACATTGCCCTGTTAAACTGAAATGCCTCATCCATTCAATGTCATTCCGATTTTTCTGGAAGAATTCCTCCCACTATCCAGGGCTCTGTGAAAAGGAAGAGAGAACACGGGGCATTGAAAGAAAGGGAGAAGTATCATGCTGGCACCTTGGCTACTCCTTCTCCAAAGGATAAGAGCATTCCAGGGTGAAAACACACTTTCTTCCATGAGTCTGCAGAAAGCATAATCCACAGAGACTTGAGTTTCCGGCGCAAAGTGCCAAAGAATAATTACATATCCAGAGTGAAAGGAAATTATTTGAATCAAAGGCATACTGCCTCAAGTTCTGAAAAAATCAGGGGTAAAGACTGAATGCAGAAAGGCCCAGAGACACAGTTGTGGCATAACACAGACTTTATTGAACTGCAAACCATGGCAAGGTGTGAAGACTCCTGTGACGAACAGCCCTTAAAACAGGCTTCAAACTGCTGCACTATCAGAGTATCGGGAAGTGAAGAGTTAAATCTCCTCAAGAATGGAGAATTTTAAGTGACAGGCTACTCCAAGCACTCTGATTGGCCAGCTCCAGCTAAGGGCAGAAATGATTCTGTACCCTAACTGTTGAAAATCTGCTCTGAGGAAGAATTCAGTTGAAGTCCGAGTCTCTCAGCCTATGCTGAAAGCAGTTTTACACAGACACAAGAAATGGGAATGAGATTTGGCAAAGTTGCTGGGTAGTGAGATGAGACTCCCATTCAGGCCAAAGGAAAGGGGATATATCTTCTAGGGAAAATAAGAAGAATCCATGCCCAGTTAAACAGGGAGCGTTATCTCTGGGAGGAGGAGATCCCTGGTCTGTTGTAAAAGGAAACTGCTTGAAAGCTAGATAGAAATTAGGGATTAAAAGGAAGGGAGTTAGGTACCGAAAGAAGGTACCAGCCTCAAGGAAAAATGAGGAGAAATAGGAAACTCTTAAGAAGCACTGTAGTGTTTGGAAAACAGGGGGAAAAGCCTCTTGATATTAAGATCTCAATAACTAAGAAAATAATCTCCAATAACCCGCATTTGTCTGTATAAAGAATTACAGTCTGTACAACCACTGATTTTTGCCTCAAAGTTAACAACTTCTGATTACACCTGACCTTCCCCTGACTTTTAAATAAAATCTTTTGTTGTTTGACTTTTACATCTTTTCAAGTGCCATTTGAAGGGGCTCAGCCCAAGAGGGCTCCTTATTCTTCCCTCAGGTTTCAGGGCTGGGCTATAAACCAAATTATATTTCTGTGATAGGGAGGGACCAGCCCCATGGCCAGGATTTTTTTTTTTTTGGGGGGGGGTGCCCAGGTGGTGCTAATTAAATTAAATTTAAATGTGTACCCTGGGGCAACCAGGGAAACTATAATCAGATCCAAACAACTCTTTCTACACCCCCAATTTACAACTGCAATTGAAGCATTAAAACAAACTTGGAGATCGAGCTTGCTTCCAAAGGCAGAGCTTTGTGCTTCTCTTCATCAGTGAAGCCTAAAGTGCTGTGGCCCCTTCTCCAGCACCACTGAAGCTTCAGCTTATTGGGGAAGTGCTTCCTGTTCCTACCAGCCTGCTGGGTTAGCCTCATGCTCCACCAGCCTTTCTCCCTTGGGCCCTGGGGCAGCAGCTGCCCGGTGGCATGAAGAGCCTGAAACTGCAGGGCAAAGAAGAGGCAGCGGCAAGCACAGCCCAGACAAGGAGCCTGCCCAGCAAGCCCTGAGCAGCTGCAGCAAGCCGAGGATAAGGAGAAGGTGTACATGGCTGGTGGGGGACGGCCAGAGAGGGTGAGCTGCCTGGGGCACTGCAAATTTGATAGGGCTGCTGCCTTCAGGCTCCCCACCCCCACTGGCTACTGGCCTTGGTGGGTTAGACAGTCTTTTAAAGACAAAGAAAAAAACCATATTACTTAGGGCAGCTCAGTCACAGAAAGGAACAACATTTTAGAGGGAAAATCTACCTCTGAGAGAGGGAAGTATGAGGGGTTGTCATAACTCCATTCACTCTCTTACTGGGGCCACAGGGAACAGGACTGAGGATCCCTGGCAAGGCATGCATCTTAGTGGGATGACATTGCAGGTGGAACTTAGAAGGACTGACTGGGTGCTATGCTCCACTTCAAGAGGAGGGCTGGAACAACAGACTTGAGTGGAATACGTCTGGAAAGGCACAACTTGCCACACTCACAAGGCTCCCTGCTGAATCTTCACCTGCAGGAAAGTAAAACAGAATCCAGCCATGGCAAGGAGGCATGAGTGCCATGCTGGACTCAGCCATGGATGTGTTGTCCTGACAGGGGCTTTGCCATGAACCTCCATCGAGGTAAACGACAGCACCATCCGAATTACACTCACCCGTCCTTGTGTTGACATGCTCATGGATTGCTGGCAATCCCTCTACAGCAGCATCTCCAGCTGCTGCTTGAGGCTCTAATTCTGCAAGGAACTGAGTTAAAGGGTCACATGGCAAGCTGGTTCACCATGTACAGTGGAGCCGCTACCAGACCCCCCCACACACCCACCACAGATACACCCTGTCCTCTGTTGGGGGTGGGCAATACGCAAATGACAGAGCATTCCCACCACCCTGAGATCTCCCAGGAAACTTTCCTGGGATCTTTTCCCATGGTATGTCAGGGGCCATGGTGTTGCATGGCCATGGCTTGTGCCACCCCTACACAAACTCAATACTGGGCTTTAGTGTAGGAGGCACTGTCACAGCACCCAGCCTCAAGTGAGGGGAATGGGGGAGCAGGTTTGGGACCCTTGCCCTTGTCTACCTGTCAGTGTGTGTTTGCCCCTTTGGGTCAAGCCTTCAAAGGTACGGTACCTGTTAGGTTTGTGAAAAGGGAGAGATCAGCCACAGAATATGGACTGAGCTCTCCTCCTTGGGTGGTAATGCTAACTGCTTGCCTTGTAGTACTAAGTACCCTATCTGTGCTTTTCCCACCACCAAAGTGCCTTGCTGCTTCCTTTAAGTCCACACAGCAGGGAGCTTTGAGACAGAGTCCCATGCAGTGCATCCTACCTACAGTGTTGTAAGATGTCCTGGCTGAAGTTTTTAAAGGGTGAGGAGATGCCACAACTGGATGTTGGGGAGGGGGCTTGGCCACCCTGGGGAGGGAGGTGATTGGCTAAGCCCATTGTCAGCATCCTGAGCTCCTCCAAGCCTAATTGGCAAAGCTGCAGCATTGAGGGGAGACAACTTGAGTTTTCAGTTCAATTGGTACCTATGGGCCACATGTTTTTATGTTGGCATACGTTTCTGCCTCTGGCAGGGGGCATTCCCAGACTGAAAGGGCTCAGGGAGTCAACCAACTCTGGCCATGCCCCCAAAACCACCCACAAGCATGCTGGCACAGGGGCCTCTGCATTGGTTGTGCTAATGGGCACAGCCTGCCAGTGACACCTAAGAGCAACAGAGTGGCACTGGGGGCCTGCGTCATTGTAATTGGACCTTACACCAGTGTGTCTTGGACATAAACGGTAAAGGTAAAGGTTCCCTTGCTCAAAGCCAGTCGAGTCCGACTCTAGGGTTGCAGTGCTCATCTCAGTTTCAAAGCCAAAGATCCAGTGCTGTTCGAAGACGTTTCCGTGGTCATGTGGCCGGCAGGACATACATGGAAGCAAAAGGTCAGCTGGCTCTCTGAGCATTTTTGTCCCCCTCCTCCTAGGCTTGCACTGTCAATTACCAGGAATTTCCCAATGAGGAGCTGGCAACTTTAACAGTAATGCTGTCCAGGAGGGGATCGTGACAGCTGGTTTTTTCCTGTTTTGCAAAAATAGCTTCATTTTATCTCAGTACATTTATAGTTGGAATCCATGAAGTACTTTCTCAGTATAATTTCGCACTATACAGCTGCTATCCACGTACACCACCATCCTGAACAAATTAAGTGTATTCAGGGTTGCAGCTTTACTAAAGAGCACCGCAGAACAAGTCGATGTGCAATCAACTGACGGTAAACTTGCCAAGGCTTAAGGCTACAGTCTTACGCACACAGCCCTAACGAACACCGTAGAATTGACTTACATGTAAACACGGCGAGGCTCTGACTCTACGGAAGCACTTTTCGCGAACTTCCTCATAAGCGGAAGAATCGAACAGAACACGCTTTTACTTGTTTGAGGCAGCACAGAGCCACTAGCACATGCGCACTCTAAGCGGTAAAGTAAAACAACCGCATCTCTTCGGTACACAGACAGACACTGAGCATCAGAAGAGGCGCAGGCCATTTCCCGCCGGAGACTCGCCCCTTAGAAGGGCGGAGCCTAGGGAAAAAAAAGGCTTAAGGCGCATGCGTGCTGTGCCACCGTTTCCAGTTGGCGCTTGTCCGGTTAGAGCCTCCAAGCTTTTCCCTGGGTGAGGGGATGAGAAGAAGGGGCGGGGTTAGGCCTCTGGGAACTATTTTATCTGCTGTGTTCGGGGGCTTTAGAAGGGGGAACGTCTAGTTGGTGCCCCTCTGCGGTGCGAGGGGGGTTCGGTAAGTGATTCTGTGCTTGAACTGACCCTCGCTTCAGGCAGCTCTGCCTCAGTTAGGTCTCTTGTGTCCACCCCCCCCCCCCCCGCGTGTTCTGATCTTAAGTGGAGACCGCCACCTTCCTCTGTTTCCATAGCACCGTAGGCTTCTCCATCGCCTCCCCTGTGTTTAGGTGTCGGTGCTTGGACAAACCGCCCTGCTGCGTCCGCGTACCTGGGACCCTCTTCAAAATCCTATGGCCTGTTGCACCTCTTCATTCCCTTATTCTTGCTTGTGTGAGTCGCTTGGTCTCGGCCCGCTCTTCTTACCTTTCTTTTAACATACCATCATCACCTGCTTTTCCGCATTATTTTCCATGGAGGAAGACGGGGCATGCAACCCGATTTTACGCATTTGTACTTCGAAGATGTGTCCATTGTAGCAAAATTAAACCGGAGTCTAGTACCACTTTAAAAACTGGAGCAAACTATTTTTTGTCAGTACAGCTGCAATGAATTGTTTTTATGATGCTATTGAATTCCTGTTTAAATTAGCAGTAGTAATATTCTATTTTGGCTATGGTCAGTTGCTCTGCAGTTGTCTGAGAAAAATAAACACAGTGATATTGCTGTTGCTGGAAAACTTAAGCTGCTGTAAAGGACTTTCAATTACTCAGTACTGCAAATTAAAATAATGCCATGGTGTAACTCTAGTTTCAATTGTTAGGAGAGTGTTCAAAGCATTGTGGAAGTAAGATGCTTTTAAGTGGCATAAATAAAATGCTTTTGAGTAACTCTTTTACCTAGGTTTTGGTTGTGTTAAAATTAGTGAAATACTGTATCTTATTAAATTGGGAAATAGTTAAAATACCATGTGTCTGTTCTCCATTCGTTTTCCAGTAGTGGCTGTTAATTGGAAATGTTTTTCATTAAAAATAATACATCTAAGTAATTTTGGAAAGAAAATATTAGAACATTGTTTCTGTAGTACTTAAATGGTTAGGAATGAGGGTTTGAGAGCATTAATATACATAGTGAAATATGAAATGTCATTTAGAGATGTAACATGGCCTCATTGTAACTAACATACAAAAACAGGAACTCTGACTTTTCTGACTCTTTTGTAACATTGTGCCGTGCTCCCCCCCCCCTTGTTTTGTAGCTTCTAGTCTGGATAACTAAAATATGGTGGTCATGTTACTGTTTTACACGTCTTTGTTGAAACTGTCATCTAGCATTTATCTTAAATAATAAAGTAGCTTAGAATTTCCTGCCAACCTAGCAGTTCGAAAGCAAGAAATTGTAAGTAGATAAATAGGTACCACTTCAGTGGGAAGGTAACAGCGTTCCGTGCGCCTTTAGTCATGCTGGCCACACGACCACGGAAACGTCTTCGGACAGCGCTGGCTCTTTGGCTTTGAAACGGAGATGAGCACCGCAACCCTAGAGTCGGATTCAACTGGCTTTCGAGCAAGGGAACCTTTACCTTTACCTAGCTTAGAATTCATGTGTCAAGATTTATACCATGACCTGGCTTAAAATATTTTTCATTCTCCTTCATCCCCCCCCCCCCTCGCAGTGATCATGGCAATGACTGGTCCAGCACCTTGCTCATCCATGAGCAATCATACCAAGGAACGAGTTACAATGACAAAAGTGACTCTAGAAAATTTCTACAGCAATCTGATTGCACAGCATGAAGAACGGGAAATGAGGTAAAAACTGCTGTCCTCCTGATGGCACCTGGTATTTTTGGCCACTGTGTGACAGAGTGTTGGACTAGTTGGGCCATTGGCCTGATCCAACATTGGCTTCTCTTATGTTCTTATGCATCAGTGTAACAGCTGTGCTGTTTTCATAAATTTGGGAATAAAAATAATAGATGCCCCAAGTGCCACCTGGTTACATTTTGTACTGAACTTCTCCTTTCCTGCTGGGGGAAAAAAACCCTTCACAGTGTTTTTCAAAGATGTTGTTTATGGTTCTGTCATACCTCTAAGCTGTTTTCTCATTCTTGTCCATTTTGGTAAAGGCTATTGTACTGCATCTGTTTGAGAAAAACTAAAAAGTAATTTACTGGAACCTTTCTCTCTGTGTTCAGTGTAAACATAGTCCATTTTGTGAATTAGACTTTTATTGTCTTCATGGAGTAATATAATGAAAGCCATCTTCTCCAAGCATATTTATGGCTTTTCTTCTTTCCCTTTTTGAGCGTTTGTAGTTATATATTAAACTTGTTGGCTTTTCATTCACTATCAAGTCCTCGCAACAACACACAGGCTGCGGTCACACACACTAAATAATCCACTTTCAATGCACTTTCCAACTGGATTTTGCCAGTTCACACAGTAAAATCCAGTTGGAAAGTGCACTGAAAGTGGATTATTTAGTGTGTGTGACCGCAGCCATATTAGTTCAGATGTAAAATTTTCAATCTTTTAACCACGGTGAAACGATTGGGAGCAGTACTGCATGTTCCCTCCTTTTTCATATATATCTCTTGTCCCCTTGTTTTAAGCCTGATGAAGCATTATATCTGCTTAGAATTAATCTTGATTATTCCCCACCGTGTGTTCTTATAATCAGAGTTAGTGAGCAGACATCAAATTTGGCTACCCATGGTTAGGATCTTGGGAGTGCTGTATCTGTATCAGAAATAGTATGAACGGTTTTGGAATCTCTTTCTAAAGGGTGGATACCAGTTCATGATCCATAAGAAAAAACATGTTAAGCTGTAGTTAATGTATTGAGTTTTAGAATGGTGTGTTTGTGAGAGGCTCCCAAATTGTTCACTGGGAATACTGTGTGCAAACTGAGCCAAACTGTATTTTATTAGCTTACCTGTTATGTAGCACTTTACACAGATATTCAGCTTCAGCTTTAGACAAAATATATGTTTCATGGGGAATATATGGTGGGGATTGGGACCACAGATAATTGTAGCAATCTTGGGGAGACCATCTAGGGAAACACTTTTCTGTCTTAAAGATTTGTAGCAAAAAATAATGCCTGTCCTGAAGTTGTGATGACTTTTTTCCAATCTGTGTTAGATGACATGCTCTGCCCTCCACAGTATTTCTGTGAATATGTAATGCAGATTCTTGAGCTTCTAATAATATAGCACTCTTTATGCTTTAGATTGTTGAATGCCTTTTGAGTCATGTCTAGCTCTGTGGCTAGTTTAAGCAGATAGTTTTGCGGGCAGATTTTGAAAAGGGGAAGGGCTATGGCTCATTGGTAGAGCACCTTCTTGGTATGCAGAAGGTCCTAGGTTCAATCCCTGGAATCTCCAGTTAAAGGATATAGTAGAAGGTGATGTGAAAGACCTCTTCCTGAGACTGTGGAAGTCTGAGTTAACAATAGCAACTTTGATGGACCAAGGGTCTTATTCAGTGTAATGCAGCTTCTTGTGTTCAAAATTTCAAATTAGAATAAAAAACTGTTGAACACTGGAGTCTTCTGGAAATAGGGGATATCCTTTGTCAAATGAAAGGCTATATTTTCAGGGTTTTTTCTATTGAGACTTATTTTCAGGGGTTTTTTCTATTAAGACTTAGGACGTACACGCTTGTACCAGACTTTCTTCAAGGCTGGGCATGTCAGCACATCATATCTGACTTGCGTGTCAATGGCCATAGTTGGGGCTGGCAGGGTACTTGTCATATGTTGGTCTTCCTTAAGGGGCTGTTCCCTATTACTATTGGAGACTTATCTCAGCAGATTGTAGACAGATCTTGCTGTTTTCATCAGTGATGGGGGGAAACAATAGCAGCATACACTAGAAGCCCTCCCACTGCCCAACCCCAAGCAACAGGAATACAGAGCATCACTTGCCCCAGCCTGAGAGTTCCTATCTATACCTTGTGGCTAATAGCCACTGGTGGACTTCTGCTCCATATGCTTCTTTTATGTTCTTACAATAGAGAACTTACTCAGGGCTATTTTTGGGCAGGAACGCACAGGAACGGAGTTCCGGCTGGCTTCTGAGTTGGCCATGCCCACGCCTACAGCCAAAACCTCTGCACATGCGTGGCTACAGAGGGAAGGCTTGGAGAGCGACACCCCCCCCCGGCGAATCCGGGGGCTGGAAGGATCGTGGAGGCATTTAAATGACTCCCCGTGCCTTCCTTTCCTTTCGTTTCCCTCCCCTCCCCTCCCCTCCCCTCCCCTCCAAGGGCTGGCTTGCCTGGGCTCCCCACAGCCACAGGGTGCCTGGGCAAGCCAAGGGAAAGGAGTTTAAACTGCTTTCCCTTCCCTTCAAGGGGGGGCTTGCCCAGGCTCCCCGTAGCCGCAGGGCACCCGGGCAGGCCAAGGGAAGGCATGGGGGTGTGGCATAATATGCTAATGAGGTGTGCTGTCTAGATGTGACCTGATATGCTAATGAGTTTCTGCTGTCAGGTGTGGCCTATTATGCTAATGAGTTCCTGCTGGCCTTTTTCTACCAAAAAAGCCCTGAACTTACTTAAAAGTGTGACCGTGGTATTACCAAGAGCAGCCGGAAGATGATCTTGCAAAGAATGACTTGCATAAGTTTGTCTTCTTTCTACATATCCCAGAAATGGCTTGAAGAAGTTCAAAAGTGTATAATGGGTAGTTTTTAGGACTGATAATTGCTAAGAGTTTTCATCCTAAGAAATAAAGGATATACTCTTGGAATATATTTTTTAAATTTATTTGCTAACAATGTTGATAAAGTTGCATTTTAGCATATGTTCACATACTAGTGGACATTACCTGTTTAAAATATTTGCTTGTTTCAGTGGCAGTTTGAACTAGATTATCCAGAATTCTGCACAAACTAATGTTCTAATAATTGTAAATGTAAATAGCTACTTGCTTATGGTGAATGAAGAATTGGGTCCAGGTAGAGACTTTTTTCCAAAAGCTAGTACTCTGTCAATCACAGATGATTGAGGTCCGAACTGCATGTTACATCTGCCATGTGATTGCAACAGAGACTTGCAAGCAGAATGCCAGCTGCAAGTTCCATGTGGAAACACAACTTGGAAGCCCTGCAGGAGCCCGATTCAAATTGGGGCTGTGATTCTTCTAAATTGAGTTCCCATGGAGAATTCACAGCTGGTGTCCTGCTGCAAGTCCCCATGACAATTATGTGGTAGATATAACATGTAGTTTTGCTTTAGCATAGTAATGTTTAGGCAGGTGGACTAAAACTTTTTCATGGACAAGGTCCACAGATTGTAGTTGGGCTTGGTAGCCAACTGTTCTCTACTAGGCATCTTAAAATAGAATTCTACCACAATGTAACCTGTAAGAATAAAATCATTCCCAGACTGATGACCTCAAACTGTGTTGATGAAAGGAAAATTGTTCATTAAATGTAAAAGAATGAAACATGTCATCCTCAGTTCTCATTCTCTTCATCCTTACCTAAATTTCAATAGAGAGAAGTGCAAAGTCTTACACTTAGGTACAAAAAATCAAAGGCACAGATATAGAATGGGAGGGACTTGGCTTGACAGCAGCACATGTGGAAGGGATCTAGGTGTTCTGCTTGATTACAAGCTAAACATGAGCCTGCAGTGCGATGTGACTGCAAAGAAAGCTAATGTAATCTTAGGATGCATTAACAGAAGCATTGTGTCCAGATCACGGGAGGTGGTAGTTCCGCTCTATTCTGCTATGGTCAGGTCTCACCTGGAGTACTCTGTCCAGGTATGGGCACCACATTTTAGGAAGGAAGTTGACAAGCTTGAGCGTGTCCAGAAGAGGGCAACCAGAATGGTGAGAGGGTTGGAATCCAAGTCTTATGAGGAAAGGCTGAAAGAGTTGGGTATGTTTAGTCTGGGAAAGAGAAGGCTTAAAGGGGACATGATTGCAGTCTTCAAGTAATTGAGGGGCTGTCATGTAGTAGATGGAGTGGATCTATTCTCTCTTGCTCCGGATTGCAAGACTAGATCTAATGGGTGGAAATTACAAGGGAGTCGTTACCGGCTAAATATCAGGAGAAACTTCCTAACTGAAAGAGTGGCTGAGCAGTGGAACAGACTGCCTCGGGAGGTGGTGGATGCTCCTTTGCTGGACGTTTTCAAGCAGAGGCTGGACGACCATCTTTTGGGTATGTTGTAGGGCTATCTTTCGGCTATGCTCCTGCAGAGTGCAGGGGGTTGGACTAGATGACCTGTAAGGTCCCTTCCAACTCTAACATTCTATGATTATATGAAATAAGTGAACATATGATATGTTTTTTACTTTAAAAGTGATCTTTATTTTTTTATTTATTTGCTTTACAATTTTTACAAGCACAAATACAGTACATCTTCTGAAGAAAATTTCTTTCACAAAATCAAGGAATTTGGTCCAGGCCATGGTTTCTTTACATTTTGGATGGTGATCATACTACAGAGGGTACATGCTGTATAGCAGGGGTGTCAAACATGCAGCCCGAGGCCGGATCAGGCCCTCGGAGGGCTGCAATCTGGCCCGCAAGGCCCTGGTTGTTTCCTGCTTCCTTTTCCCGTGCTGCTGTTGCTGCTACATCACAGCTTACTTTACCAGACTCTCTCAATCACACAGGAGAGATAGATAGGCAATCCTCTCCTGTGCGATTGAGAGTCTGGTAAACCGCTGGCTGAGGCTCCCAATGTCCTAGGAAATTAGATCAGACCACGATTATTCCAGTATCTCCCTGTGAGGGCCAGATTATATTTGGGTTCCCCAGAGCCAACTTGGTTTCCCCACAACTACACAGCAT